AGCAGTGTCAGAATGCAAGCCTCTTGGGTTATAATCTTTGGGATTGGGAGAAATAAAACAGACAGTATAAAATCCTTGTTAACATGAAATCGGGCAACTACTTTTGATTTTAAAAAGTCAGAAAGAGCTTACGTTAATGAATTTTAAGAAAAACAAAGTTTCAAAGGGTTTCAGTCTCAGTTTGGACAGTAATAATGACAAATTGAGTGGTGATACATGGGGGGAACTGAAGGAAACATTATTCATTAAACTTTTCAGAAAACATTTAGACACTTTTTGAGCATAAATCAATCCCCCTGTATCAGTTCAGTAGCAAAAGTAGCAACAGCTGCTAGACAGGCATTAATAGAGGTAATAGCCAAACATACATTTTTAATAAACAAAAGATACTCAAATATGTGATAACTTGCAAGCCACTGATTCATCTCCCTTTCAGAGTGACTCCTGAACACATTTTTTCCTATTTATATGAATAAGGTTTTCTAGGGAATGTTTTCCTAGCTTCTGTTATTATTCTTTGTATTGGCTCTGACAAACTGTCATTTACATCTACCCGCATGGTAGATGCTGATATCTTCCCCATGACATTTTAATTATGGAGGTAAATCTGGTTGTCTGGGCTAATAAAGGGATATGAATATGCACCTGATGATCTCCTATCTCATCTTGTAAAGGACTCTGGTTATTAATGGGATTCAAGGAAATGCATGACAGAACAGCATCTGTGTACGGTACATCTGAACAGCATTTGTGTACAGTACATTGTACATCTGTGTGCAGTACATCTCATACGCAGAGTATGAGATGCTACTGAATAGAATTTGTGGCACAACATGTTGAATCTTGTTACAGATAAGTCTATTGTAGGGGAAGCCCCATTTGTCTGAAAATTGGAAGGAGATGTTTGCACAGTAGTGTGTCTGCTCATGTTCTTCTGATGGGTCTCTGCTCAACTCATCTACTAAACTAAGTGTTCCATGTCTCTCCACTGGGAATTGCTTGGATCATGATTCTGTAATGGATACATCAGTCTCAAAAATCCTCCCCAAACCCTGTCCTCCCCAGGCTATACCCCCAAATATCCAGGAATTTATCATCCTGGAGTTGGCAACCCCAATGTGTTGTGAACATTATTGGTGGAGCTAATGCTGAAGCTCTGGAATGAGCATCTGCAGAAGGATTGTGACTGTCCACCAGCCTATTGACTGTACAGGTATACTAAGACAGCTCCTCTGACTCTTCATGGCTGGACTCTCATTATCGGTCTGGCCAAGAGAAGCCAACACTGTAACACTGAGGTGGGAAAAATCATTAGGGGAGGGAAGTCCCTTGCATTCTGATGTGCTGCTGTGTGAGTTCCTATGGCAATGAAAACTGGAAATTTACACAGAGTTGTCAAAATGCCTTGCTGACAAAAACATCCTCACTAATAGCACAAGTCACCCTACTAATTTCCCTTTAATTATTTCCACAAACCTTTACAGATTGATGAAACTTGTTTTGTCTTTTGTCCCTTATTATTTAACCGATTTAGAATTTAAGCTCTTCAGTGATGATGGGCTTTCCTCTTTTTCTTAGATGAAATTTTGGTGAAACAGTTTTTCTTTGGTGAAATTTTGTCAACCGCCCATGAATAATCTAAGCATGTTTGAGTATAAAGAGATGGCTCTGTCATCTGCTTAAAAACAAATCACATCTGTCTCTATTATAGTTGCTCTTATGGTGATTATACCTTTCTCTGGTTTAATAAATAAGAATACAGTAGAAATAAATTTGTTGATGGAGTCTGCCCTCTGGTGGTCACTTTCATCATTTACCATGATAGTGTGGATTTTAAAAAGGAAGAAAGCAGTGGACATTTGAATTGTGCGTTGACTGTATTTCACGGCACACTCAGTAAATCTGAAATATTAAAAAAAAATTCCTGGGAGAAATCCCCATTGAATAAAATGGGATTTACTTCTAAGTATACCTCCTAAAGATTTCTTCCTCAGTGTCATTGCCTTAGAGTTTCCTAGGCAAAATTATGCAAGTTGCTAAACCTTGCAAGGAGCTTACATTCTAAAACAGGCAATGGGGAAAACAAGAGTATGGAGGGATGTCTATTACCTAACATCATCTGAAGAAGTGAGCAGTTACACACGAAAGCTCATCCCCTGCCTCATATTTTGTTAGTCTTTAAGATGCTACTGGACTCTTGCTCTTTTCTTCTGCTACAGACAGACTAACACGGCTGCCCATCTTGATCTAATCTACCTAACTTGGTTAACAGTTGGGAATAAAGTTTCTGGTCTAGGCTGAGCGGAAAATAAGGGTTTATGGGTGGATGTGAGGGGAGAGAAAGAGGGTGGTATGCATGCCGTGACTTGGATAGGTCAGGACAGCCTGATCTTGGAAGCTAAGCAGCGCCATCCCTGTGTAGTACTTGAATGGGAGACCACTAAGGAAGTCCACGATTCCTACGCAGAGGCAGGCAGTGGCAAACCACCTCTGTTTGCCTCTGGCCTTGGAAACCCCATGAGGGGTTGCCATAAGTCGGATGCCGCTTGACCGCACTTTCCTCCACCACCACCACATGCATGTTTAGGGAATGTCTTCCACGCATGGGATTTCGTGTCCCGCTACCATTCTTTTTCTAGCCAGAGTGTCCTTCCTACTTTGCCCCCATCATCCTGTTCTTGAGGGCCCCTTGAGTCCCAAGAGCTGAACTTTGGGACATCTAGGCCTGCCGTGGGAAGGGGAGAGAAAAAAGTCCTTTCCACGAGCTTTGCATCATTCATTTTGTTGGCTATCAGCCATAGGGTCTGGCAAGGGAAAGTAGGAAACCGGGGAGCAAGTGGGGGGGATGATAGTTCTCCTTCAGCCCTGTTATAGCCTTTTTGATTCTATCCCAGTGCCTTCTGTTAGGCAAGATTTCCTTTTCCACAGCTTTCTGCATTATTATCCCAATTTTTAATAAGACATTTTTAATCAGACATTTCCCTAAAAACTCTCTTTTCCAATAAAAATCAGTGAAATCTTTCCTAACCCACTTTAATCTATTTAATCTTCTTCAGTCACAGCTGAGGAATCTGGCATTGCAATTGCATTTTAAGGTTGCCCTGCTTCCCTTTCCCTGCCAGCTAGGAAAGGGAATAAAGTCCTTGAACGGCAGCAGGGTAGAGCTTCACTCCATATCCATCACTGTAATGGACATTCTGCCCTCAACCACCTCACAGTTCTACCTTTGAGCTGGATCAAAGGAGGTTTCTTTTTGTTCTGGCTTGAAGGGGGGAAATATGTGAGCCAGATGGGGCATATCTGTTTTGGGAATGGTATCACCTGGATATTCCCAAATATTCTGGGGGCTTCCCATTGCCCGTGCAGGGGGGAAATTCCCATGTGGAAGGACCCTGGGTGAACAGATAATAGCAATTCTGCATTAAACTATTCCACCAACCACAGAGTAATCGTAGAGGGTGCTTTTGAGCATGTGAAGTAAAGGTCAGGCGTAACTTTGAGTAGGTGCCCAGTGCCTGTCCCTTGCGCCTGGGTTGCATCAACTGGGGACCAAGCAAGGACTTCCATGTGGGTCAGAAGAAGAGACGTCCTATTTTTCCAGACTCTCTACTGCATTTTCCATCTTCTCTTTGATTACTGTTGCTTTACAATGCATTATCCTCCTACTCAGGATGCCAGGGAGAAGTCTTACGTGTCTTTCAAATGCTTAGGCATATTTAGACAATGTAAGTGCTAATTCTCCAATTTGACGCTTCATTGACTAGATGGCATTTGAAACGACCATGGAATGAGTGAGCAAACACTGAGGTTCTCTGCGGAAATGCAGCTGGGATGATTCAGAATGCTTGCAGTTTTTGTTTGGGTGTGGAGAATGTCACCAAATTAGATGCATGCGTGTGTGTGTGTGCCACAGTCCACCGGAAGATATGTTTTTGACGTGGGAGATTCCTCAAAGCAGGGCCACAACTGATATGCCACAAGCCATAACTGTTGCCTCTAGCTGAGCAGAGATCACCCTCAGCAAGGCCTACTGAGAGCGTCTGGTTTGATACGTGGCCTCACACGAGGGAAAGAAAGTATTTCCTCGTCTATCTGTTCTGCAGGTGCTTGATTAGTTCTTCATTTCTGACTGGCACAGTAGTAGCGCTGTGGTTAAGAGTGGCGGACTCTAATCTGGAGAACTAGGTTTGATTCCCCACTCCTCCACATGAAGCCTGCTGGGTGACCTTGGGCCAGTCACAGTCTTCTCTGAATTCTTTCAGCCCCACCTACCTCACAAGGTGCCTGTTAGGAGGAGAGCAAGGGAAGATGTTTGTAAGCCACTTTGAGACTCCTTAAGGTAGAAAAAAAGTGGGGTATAAAAACCAACTCTTCTTCTTCTAGTAGTCTGGACTGTACTCCTGTATGTGGTGGCCTGAGAAGCCCTGTAGCTGGGGAATTTTGGGGAAGGGGCCTCAGGGGGGGCCTCCAGCTAATTAAATCAAAGCACAGTTCAGGTGGTAAGTTGGGGCACTTTGGGGGCAGCCTGGGAGGAAGGGGGCCCAGAAGAAACACTAGGGGGCCAGGCCCCGTGGGCCCCACATTAACTACGGGCCAGCCTGAGATCATACACAGATGGCACATTTGGTAGCAGAGGACTTGTAAGAATGCACAACAGATAGAATTGGAACTGGTCTGCTGCACCCCGGACCTGGTCCTAGAATTTTTTATTTCATGAAACGGTGGCCCTGTTTATCCATAGATTGTGCATAATAATAATAACTGATATGATTTCACTAAGGTTTCTCCCGAACCTGTTAATCTGCCCAACAGTTGATAGGAGTAGTAAGAGATGATCCCAACTGATTCTTGGTCCATAAAAGGGAGAAATGATGACACTGACGCAAAAGGTTGTTATTCATATTGTTTTATTTGTAATTGGTTGGCTTCCAAACCAGGAGGAAAACGTACAAATTTCAAGGGAATGGCTCTTGTGCTTGTTCCTGTTGGCCGTTTTAGTATCAGTGGTAAAAGATCAGCATTGCAGATTCCAATAATTGTTTGGAAACACTCCAGCCACTGTGAGTCCCATAGCCATCCCAGTCGAAGGAAGTGTAGTCGCCACACTGCCGTGGATTTCCTTGTGGAAAATATCCTCCACCGCCAACACAGGACTGAGGAAAATGAAAATGGGGATAGTCTAGGTTGGAATCTAAAGGGGGGCAAATGTTCAGCATTGCTGATGGAATAAGCCAGTCCCAAATATCAGCACACTGCCTTTAAACCACCTACTCACATGTTCTGAGTTGCATCCTGTGACTCTAACTCCAGCGCACAGAGCCATGGCTGCTTTTTCATTATTAAACACCCGGAACTGAATGAAGCCAGGTTCAATCTGAGCTGGAAAGATAAAGACATAAACAGCAGGGAGGTTTCTTTGCTCCAGGAACTTGGTATTTGATAGCTGTATGGTTTGGTTCAGACCTAATAGTGAACTAATGCTTTCTGTTATGTCCCAATCAGCAAACAATGGTTTGCACTTTCCATGCAAATCAGGATTCCAAGTCTGGAACAATCCTATGCTTTGGAATCTTGGTTTGCAGGACAAAATGCATGCCTTAGTTTGTTTGTTTTTTGGGTGTGATTACAAACTATGGTTTGCCAAGAATCCTGAAAAGTCTAATTCACCGTGTGTGATAAGATGCAAGTGAAGGGGTGTGCAAGTCCAAGAATCAACCAAGCTCATACCTACTGGGGCAAACTGTGGTTCAGTGTGGACATCAGGCCATGGTTTTTGTTAGTCATGGTTTACAACCCAAGCCATGGGTGAACTTCCAAATGTACAACAGCAAGCCATGGTTTAGAACTGCTGGCCCACTTTCATTTACCGCCCAACCTGCACTTTCATTAGTTCATTCTTGTTTCCACTGAGTATAATCTCTGGAGGAGGAGCAACAGCCGTCACTCTGGTCTGTCAGTTCAAACATCCTGGCTGCTTCCACAGAGATATTTTGCCCAGGTGTTACACAGCATACCCCCCCCTTTTTTTGCCGAGAGCTTCCACTGGACTCTGTGCTCTTCCTAAGCATGATGTGTGGGGCTCCCAGGGCTTTCCCATTTAAGCCAGAGCAAAAGAAAAAACCTCCTTTGCTGCAGCCTAAAGGGGAAATGCAGGGTGGCTGTAGGTAGAGCCAACCGAGGGAGGGGGCTGAGCTAAATGGCAACACTATGCTCCATTCCCATAATCATACACACTTTTGTTGTTGTTACAACAGAGTCGTGACCCTTAGAACACCTTTCTGGGCTGTGTGGGAGTCTGGCAAGAGTGTGATTCTATGGAGCAGCATGGAGAACAGCAAGCGGCACAGAGATGGGGCACGTGAATACTATTGCTGTTCATCTCCATCTGCTGCTACTGTTTCCAGGGTGTGTGTGTGTCCCACCCCATGTGGAAACAGCCCTTGTCAAATTCATATTGAACACAAGCCATGACTCACAAAAACCCACCTGATTCTGGTTTGCTGTCTTGGTTTGCCAATTCAAGCCAAACCATCGTTAAGCTAGTCTGGCATGATCTCTGAAATGAGCCTATAATTAATTAAAATGTTCCTAACCTGCTTTTTGATTTTGTAAAACCTCCAAGATAGGTTATATTTGTTTGAATCATGTATGAAGTAGTTTGATCCTTTAGAATCCTACACAAATTGGGCCCAAATTCCATAGAGATTTAAACTATGTCCCATTGAATATTCTGCTGTCCTGCTGGTTACATCCTCTGTGCACCAAGCCCATGCTTCAAAGGTATGTAGAATGGCTGCCCTCACCTGTGGAATTCCTTGCCCCTAGGGACTTGAGACTGCTTAGCTCTGAAAGCTTTGTAAAGCTTATTCTACTCATGCTGGGTTTCAGTGGCTAGGGATGAATCCAAACTGATGTCGCAGAAGAAAGGGGGGTGGTTAGCATTTTTTGGAGGAAGCTGGTTAAAAATAGTTCTTGGATCTCTCCTTTAAAAACTGTAGCTAGTTCCAAATCTTAGGTATAAGACAGACATTGCAGTAAATATATACAGTATTTGACATGTCTTATATTTCATAATCTTGGTAAGGCTGGAACCTAGGTCAGTTCCTAGCAGCAATGAAAGACAAGCAAGGTCTGTGTAATATTATGCAAATACAACTGATAGTGAAGAACATCATCAAACCCCAGACAACTTTGCAGTGCCCAAAGTTGACTTTAACCATCTGTCACCCAATTGTCATTAGCCAATCAGAAAACACTTCCTGAAACTGAAATGACCATCCAGTCAGGGGACTCCTATATAGTTAAATGACATATTAAAAAATCTTGTATAGGAAAGTCAAAACTAGGTTATGGTAGCAATTTAAAATTCTGGGATTCTTTATTTTAATCTCTGCAAGACTTTGACTTTGATCCATTCTTGTATTCCAAACCCAAGTCATCCAGTGCTTTGGTCAATTTCTGCAGAGCATTTCACTGTGGCAAACAAATCACTTACCTCGAGCATTTGGAGCATAAAAGAAAGATGTCTGCTCGGCATTACCGTGGTCGTAGAAAACTGGTACAGAAGGTCCGTTGTTATCTGCACAGGTGCCAATTCCAAACTTTACTGGGTATTTCTACAAAGGCAAGCAAATGGCAAAGAAAAGCAAGCATGATGTAGTGGTTAGAGCAGGGGTCATTTCATAGAAAAAGAGCTAGGGGAACTCATTAGCATAACTTATTAGCATATGCCACACACCCTGACATCAGGAGCCCGGCGGAGGCCAGCGGGAGTGTGAGGAAGCCCCGCCAAGGCCCTCCCTGACCCCAGGCAGGCAGGGGTGGGGAGAGGCGGGGGGGAAGCAACTTACCCTCCCTCTTCTCCTGCCTCCTCCTGGCTGAATGAGGGCTGGAAGCGGGGCGGCCGAAAGCAGGGGGCGGGGCTTTGTCATGTGCCCCGCCCCCCAGCACCTCACCCGGGGGAACTGCGTTCTCCCGCGTTCCCCCCTGAAATGACCTCTGGGTTAGAGAGCTGGGTTAGGATCTGGGAGACTGGGGTTCAGATTCCCACTCTGCAATGAAACACTGGGAGACCTTGCTCTAGTCAGCCTAACTGACTTCACAGGGTTGTTGTGCAAATGAGATGGAGGGAGAGAAAAACCGTGTATGCTGCCTCAAGTTCTTGGGACGAAAGGTCAGATAAAAATGTGTGTGTGTGTGTGTGAGAGAGAGAGAGAGACATTGATCGATCTCACTGAAGGGGGTGGGGGAAAGGTCCCCAGAGCAGATATGGTAGCCTTCCATATGAGGCCGGGAATAAAAATAAAAGGGGGGGGGGGAAGCTAGCCTTGGAAAAAGAGTTAGCTTGGAAAACATGTTTTTAATGCTATCTTCATAGAACAGCTGGCTAATCTTGTGATCTCTGTCCTGGCTCCAGGACCAAAAGCGTGCAGCATAAGAGATCCATTATTACATTTCTCAGCTTTTCCCTCCTAAACTTCTCAGCTATCTTGAGGCTACAAATTAGGTCAGAAGAGCAGCATTGGGGGAAGGAGAGCAACTCTTGAGCTGGGAATTTTTTGGAGATTTGAAGGTGAAGTCTACGGTGGGCAGGGTTTGGGGAGGGGAGGGAGTTCAGTGGGGCATAATGCCGTAGAGTCCAACTTCCAAAGCGGACATTTTCTCCAGGGGAACTGATGTCTGTAAGTCTGGAGAACAGTTGCCATTCCAGGCCCCAAGGGAAGATGTTTTAAACTCTCCCCCGCCCCCCATCTAATCAAAATGATCCTACTCTTCCCTCAAGCTACTGTTACTCTTGTTAGCTGGTTATCAGTGATCACTGGCCACTGAGACCAGGGTTTCCTTATAAAATATTTTAACCTATTCTGCTGGTGTCAGGATGGATTTGGGTCCAATACTGTTTTCCTTAGGGATGAGTAACACAGGGAAAATACAGGTATAGTGTCTGTATTTTTTCCCTAGCAAATAGGTCTAACAGCTTGAGTGGTGATTTAGATCAAGGAAATGGCATGGGAGGAAAGAATTAAATATCCCCTCCCTCAGAGCTGCATCCCCAGTTACATCAACTGCTCTGAAGTAAAGAATGACAATCAATGAAATTGATGAGCAGTTAGAAGGGATAAAAGGAAGTACTTCTTCACCCAAAGAGTGATTAACACATGGAATTCACAGCCACGGGAGGTGGCGGCAGCTACAAGCATGGACCATGGACGGCTTCAAGAGGGAATTAGATAAACATGTGGAGCAGAAGTCCATCAGTGGCTATTAGCTACAAGGTATAGATAGCTACTGCCAACCTAGCAGTTCGAAAGCAAGAAATTGCAAGTAGATAAATAGGTACCACTTCAGTGGGAAGGTAACAGCGTTCCATGCGCCTTGGTGTTTAGTCATGCCAGCCACATGACCACGGAAATGTCTTTGGACAGCGCTGGCTCTTCAGCTTTGAAACGGAGATGAGCACGGCAACCCTAGAGTCGGATTCGACTGGCTTTCGAGCAAGGGAACCTTTACCTTTTATAGATAGGAACTCACAGGCTGGGGCAGGTGATGCTCTGTATTCTTGGTGTTTGAGGGGAGGGGGCAACAGTGGGAGGGCTTCTAGTGTCCTGGCCCCACTGCTGGACCTCCTGATGGCACCTGGTATTTTTGGCCACTGTGTGACAGAGTGTTAGACTGGATGGGCCATTGGCCTGATCCAACATTGGCTTCTCTTATGTTCTTAAAGAAAAAAATATTAATCTGATCATGTACCATCTGTTTTAACCCTCAGCCATTGGTCACTGAGACCCGGAAGAGGTTTCCTTGTAAAATATTTTATCTTATTCTAGTGGTGTCAGGATGGATTTAGGTCCACTACTGTTTCCCTTAGCTGGGACTCTGAGTAAATTTACACACAATTGTGTTAAGAAGAAGAAGAAGAGGGGGGGGGAGGAGATATTATTTATACCCCGCCCTTCACTACCCAAAGGAGTCTCAGAGTGACTTACAAACTCCTTTCCCTTCCCCTTCCCCTCCCCACAACACACACCCTGTGAGATAGGTGGGGCTGAGAGAGCTCTGACAGAAACTGCTCTTTTTCGAGAACAGCTGTGCCAGGACTATGGCTTGCCCAATATCATCCAGCAGGTGCAAGTGGAGGAGTAGGGAATCAAACTCGGTTCTCCCAGATTAGAGTCCAAGCACTTAACCACTACGCCAAACTGGCTCTCTTAGAGTTTTAGAGTTAGTGTCTTAGGGGTTGTTATGGGTTTGTCTGTTTAGTGTGCATGGTTTGGCCTGAAAGGATTGGAATTAGGGCCTATAACAAAAGAATGCCCATGTTCCTCTAAAGGTATTAATTGTTAGGCAATCGTTCTGTTCAAGGACCCACTTGAGCTTCCATAGGAGGATGACTGACATCTCCTCCAGTTGAGGTAAGGAGGCAGAGGAGTGTATATTTGTGTTTGAAGAAACAGCATTTTGAATCTGAGTGAGGGATGCAAGAGCTGAGAGAAAGGGAAGGAGAGAGAGGGAGTAAACTGAGCTGGATGAAAGGTGAAGCCTGTTGGGGTGTAGGCTGTCTCCTTCTGGGAACCTACAGTGGAGCAGTGAACCAGCTGCCCTGCAGAAATGCCTTTTTGCCCCTTCCTGTAATAGGTTTGTTCTCTCTGTAATAGGTTTGCCCCATCCCCATCTCCTGCACCCTGCCACTGTTTAGGCTTGCCCGTTTACTTGCAGGGGCATGGGATCTCCCACCCCCAGCTTCCGTTCCCATCTCCTGTTGAGTTAGGCAGCAGGATGTAATGCCCTGGTGAAGAGGACATGACTGGCATCCCCAGCACAATAATGTTATTTCTGGCATGGCCCGGAAATAATGTCGTCATTATGATCTAGCATTTGCCTAAAACTCTGTTTAAACCACAGAGTTTGGGATGAATGTTAGAGCATCACCTTGGACTGATGATGTCACTTCCAGGTCACATTGGAAGTGGCATCATTGCACCAAGGACACCATCCTCCCCCCCCCCCTAGTCCAGAAGTCCCTGCCTTCCCCATCTCTTGCCAAGCAACGCTAATCCTTAAATGAAGACCATATTACAAAGACACAATAAGCCTTCAATGTTCTCGTATCAAGAGGGAATCAGCTAGAGCCAGTGGACCTTCTCAGCACTCAGAGAAGCAGCGAGCATGTAACAATATTCTGAATTTCCTAGTTTCTTGAGCTCAGTCAGTTCCACCCTTTTATGAAAGTGCCACACTTACTTACACTTTTCAAAGTCCCAAATGTTCAATCATTGGGCAACCATCCTTACCTGGTAGAGTCTAAGAAGGTTCCCCCCTTCAGCAGACAAGAAGCCCGTCTCAGTGTGATACCGCAAGATGGCAGCATCCCGCCATTCCTTCATAGGGGTGTTGTTGGGGATGTGCCATATGGCCAAATCCCGTGCTTCAAGATCATAATAGCCAGGATTCTAGAATGGGGGGAAAAAACCCTCTGAGGGAAAAGCATGGTTGTGCCTAAATCCCAGATTAAGATACGATTGGAAGCTGGAATGCTGGAATCAGTGGGACTCTCCTGGGGGCAGGGAATCGTCTCCTGTTGACATCTGATGTCACGACATTACTTCCAGTTTGCACCAGAAGTGACATCATGACACTCTAGGAACTCATTCATCATCCTGCTGGAGCAAAGAGGCCTGGTAAGGCCTGCCAGCATCTTTTGTTTCCAGAATGATATACACATTCACACCAATCAGACTGTGGTTGACATGTGTATGTCAGAGAACTGCATCTCTTAACCTTCCAACCAGGAAGGGGTAGCAATGCATGCATACGAAAAAAGAGACTCGCCTTGAAATCGTCACTAGTTGAGGCCATGGCAGATCCAAAAGTCGCATTGTTAGCCCAGTTGCCATCCCCCTGGGGGTAGTTGCTGTTGCTCCCTTGTTGGCTAGACCAGCGGTCTCCCGGAGTACACTTCCCATATATGTTGTTCTCGTGGATGCTGGCCACCAACGTCCAGCCGCCTCCATTGGTAGTCATGTCACAGAAGGTTTGGTAGACCTCGCCATCTTCCGTGGCCAGGTAATACAAGCCATCTGCAGGAAGACAGACCATGCACCTAGTGTCTCATTTAAATTAGGTGTATATGTCAAGTGCTGTTAAGTCACTTCCAACTTATGACACATCCTTACACTTAAGAGTCTTTTCTAGCTCCTTCATGGCTGCCCTTCCAAGTCTCAATCTCCTTCTAACTTCCTGGTTACAATTACCCTTTTGGTTGATGATGGAGCCAAGGAATAGAAAATCTTTGACGATTTAAATTGGGTACATTCAGTCATTCAGGGATGGTTCCAGTTTTAGGGAGCCCTGGACAAAATGCAGATTAACTTTCACATGACCTTCACCTCATTGTTTCCACACAATTCTGTCTCATTCCTTTTGAAGATATTGCTCCTAACACGTCTCCCGTCCTTTTCTGTCTCACCCACCTGCAGCTCCTTCTAGCGCTGTTTTGATTTCCTTGCAGCTTCGAGGCAGGGTCTGGAGCAGGTTGGGGGGCAGGCCCTGATCGTTCTGGAAACAAGTGGCATCTTCCCACTTGACCAGCAGTCTGAAAATGTCCCGTTTTAGCGAGGTCACACAGCCACTGCTATCTGCAAGGAAAGGATTGATTAGGGAAGAAAGAGAAGAAGCATTCATTCATGACAGTGGGTGAAGAAGTACTTTTTTGTACTGTCCATAAACTTGACTAGGTGCCCCTGAGTTTTATTTACTATTATGGGAGAGGAAGGACAAAGTCCACTTTCTCTGTTCCATATATCATTATATAAACCTCTGTCATGTCCCCCATCCTAATAAACTGTAACACCTTAGCCTTATTTTATAGGGAAGGTGCTCCACCTCCCTGATTTTGCTAGATTCGAGTCCAGTAGCACCTTAGAGACCAGCCAGATCTTTGGGTGATGAGCTTTTGAGAGTCAGACCTCCCTTTGCATGTGATGAAGGGAGCTTTGCCTCTCAAAAGCGTGTACCTTGAAAATCTTGTTGGTCTGTCAGGTGCTACCGGACTCAAATCTAGCTCTTCTACTGCAGACCAGCACGACCACCCTCCCGAAACTCCCTTAATTTTGGCAGCCCTTTTCTGCACCCTCTCCCTTATCCTTTATAAGATATGGCAGTCAGGGCCGTACACAGTATTCCAAGTGCAGCTGCACCGCAGATTTATATATTCTGCTTTCACACACTTTCCTAATAACCCCTAGGACAGAATTTGCTTTTTCATGACTACTTCACACTGAGTTGGCATTGTCACTGAGCTGTTCTCCATGACATAGAGGGACCAGATCTCCCACTACTGCATGGGATCCCCCCCCCCATGCCCTGTCTAGCAGGATAAATTTGGGTGGAAAAGCAACAATACAGTCATGTAACTGGAAGCAGCATCACATGATGCTGGTAGACTTTAGCAATCCAGTTGGGTGAGAGATTTTTTTTTGAGAAATAAAATATGTATTTATTACAAAGTGCACTAAAACTATACTTTAAAAACATTGGCACCATCTGCCCTTGAAGTGGTATTTGAACTAAGACGTCCTGAATCTATATAACCTGATACATTTCAATTGGTTAAAAGCCTTCAACCAATAAAACGGGACCAATAATTCAATATATCTAACTTGATAACCTTCAACCACATTAAAACAGGACCAAACATGTTTCGGCTTCCAAGGCCTTCCTCAGTGGTCATATTTTTGTATACACATGCACACTATGACATATAAACATGTGTTAGTGCCAAGGCAGGTTGGGTTGATTATAAGGCATTCCAAATCTCCCATGTGGCAATAGAATTGGGTTGTGTGAGGGTTTTCTTAAACGTTTAAGCACACACATCCAAGTAATGCAGGTTTAATATTTCTGACCATGGCTTTCAGAACTCTCAGAGTGTACATATATGTATCAACCTTTATACGATAGATTATGGATTGACCCAATGTTTTAGTGCCCTTTGTAATAAATACATATATTTTGTTTAATATATTTCTCTTTTTTTCCTACCACCCTATGTTTGGGTACCCAATCTTGTTGTTTCTTAAGATTGTTTTTTTCCCCTTTCTGTTTTTACACTTTAGCAATCCTCCAAAACTCTGTGGTAAAGCCATAGAATTTGGGGATTTGCTAGCGTCCCAGGGACAGGAGACAGCTCCTTTTACAGGACTGGAATTGACATTGCAGTGTTACATGATGCCATGCAGTGCCTAGCTGCATCCCCACTATGGCAATCCTATTATAACCCCAAGAAACCTTGCTTGGCTATTTATCACCAATTCAGACTCAGTCAACTTACATGTAAATAGTTAAGGTTGGTTTTGGATCCCAGTTTGCATCACTTTGCATTAATTTATGTTGAACCTCATTGTGTTGACTAATTTGTTTGGAGAGATCCTTTTAGACCTCTTTGGAAGAGGGTGGACAGAGTGGAACACAGGTAAAGTCCTCATAGGACACAAACCTGTCGTATGTTTAACAAGTAGGAAGATGTGTATGATCTAGTTAAAGGTACTCCTAGCAACACTGTCAGCAAGCTGTCATGATTTGTTCATTGTATATATGCTTCACCTGTTGGGACCTCTTAACATGCAATGCTTTCTGTATTAACTCATATGTTGATAGTTGTTGCCTAGTGACCCATGCGCATGCTCATAAACGGCAAGCTTGTTAGCGTAACGCAGAAACACTTCAAGGGCAGGTGGGAGATAAGGGAGCTCGCTTATGTCTACCGATATC